TTCACAATTATGTCATGTTTCAAAAGTAATAGCGGTAATTTTAACATGTGTAAGTATCCGGCATCAAGTCTATGTATCATATGGTTTGTAATAAGGCAAACCGTTTGTAAATCCGTTAATATTTCATTGAGTTATACATATTTTTATTTGAGCCGTACACTCACCCTCAGCTAGAGAACAGTTAGCTGTCCGAAGTAAGATGGCCGCCGTGTAAGGATGCTGTCAACTCCCAGTTAGGGGATCTAGCTAAAATGATATCTATGGTGAGTATGGAGCTAGGATTGGGACAATGTTCAATGTAACTTGTACCAAGTTTTGTAACTTGGAACATGCTTCATGACATGTAAATTTGGATTCCTAACTTGTAACTTTAGTTTTCTAACTTGCAATTCTCAATTTGCACATGTACTTTTTTTATTTTGTAAAATCAAACTTTTACTTTGTACATTTACTACTAATTTTGTAACATCAAACATTCATTCAGAAACATGAAACTTTTGTTTTTTACCTAGCAGACTTCCAAAATAAAATAAAAAATCAGTGTACAAGTTTGAAATCAAAACTCTCAAAACACACATTTCATTCTACAGGTACAAACCTCAAATGTACAGTGTTACAAATAATTTTGTCTCAATTCTAGTTTGGGTGGGAGGAACTTGGGTGGAACCAATGAGAGCATGAGTCTTAGCTACCAATCACGTTTCTCGAATTCCTGTCCAATCATTGGGAGAGGAAGGCAGGGTTCTGTCAGAGCTGTAGAAAGAGAGTTACAACACTCCTATAGAGCTCCGGACCCCACGTGACTCTCAGTTAGTAGACACCATTTTGGCATGCAAAAAAGGTAAACAAACACGGATGTAACCATGAACATGAACGGGATCCGCTTGGATTTTACTTCGTCGGAGTTTACTTCACACTTTAAAACAGAAGAAATCGTTTTCTATAGTCAGAAATTAAATAGACTGAACATCTCCGACCCTTACCGTGCCCCTGGGATACTTTTTAAAAATGCCAGAAGCTGTCGGAGCAGACTTCTTACCGGCACAACACCGGACCTGGCCGGGGGAACCCCTTGGGATTCCCCCGGCCGGAGGAGCTGGGGAGAAGGTCTGGGACTCTCGACTCTACTGCCCGCTCCGACGCCAGAAGCTGTCAGAGCGGGCTTCTTACCGGCAGAACACCGGACCTGGCCGGGGAACCCCTTGGGATTTACCCGGAGGAGCTGGCTCCGGCGGCTGGGGAGAGGGAAGTCATGCTACTGCCCCCGCAACCCGACTCCGGATACGCGGATGAAAATGGATGGATGGACGGACAAATAACAGATTTACACGTAAGTAGTCTCGGTGACACAGATAATAGCAATCCAAAGTGCTTTTTATGTGTGAGCTGACAATTGATCAACCATTGCTTAAAAATTAAATACAGCTTAGCCGGTTAATTGCTGTGATCATAAAACACGGAAACGGCAGCACGCAGAACTCACGAGGCAACATTTTATGTGATGTTTACTTGCTGCTATGAGTAATAAGACAGAAAAAGCCACGCCAAAATAAGTTTAGGAAGCCCACTAAGAATCATAATAAAAGCATTTAAAATAAATACCATATACAGTTGAGGAAACGTGGGTTTAAGTACCTGATATGAAGTGGTCGCTGCATAAGCGAAAACCTTTACTCTCGGGATCCCACAGCTTCATTTTCGCCCGGTCACTAGCACTTTTTATTACAATGATCCAACGTTTGCGGCGCTCCGGATCTTGGGGAATCCTGTAGATGGCTCATTCCTTATGTCGTCTGCGTCTGTTCTGCATCCTGGGGCACAACAGGAATCTACCATATTTCCCGTTTGATTGAGTTATCTGACAATAACAAATAGTCCAGCTGCCGGCTTCTGCCTGCCAATATGGCGCCGTTTCGATTTGAACTGTTGCATGCCGGGAGAAGTGACGTCAACTCCCGGAGCTCTATAGACTTCTATGGAAAGAATGGAATGCGGAAGTCATGTGGTTCATGTAGCTTTGAATAGTTCCAAACAGCCCCCGCTGCTGCATTGACCGTAGTTCAATTTTGGTGTTTCAGAAGGATTTTCTCTGGTAATTTGATGAAATACACGTACAAATTGAGAATTACAAGAAGTTAGAAAACTAAAGTTACAAGTTACAAAACCAAAGTTACATGTCATGAAACATGTTCCAAGTTACAAAACTTGGCACAAGTTACATTGAATATTGTCCCAATCCTAGCTCCATAGATGGGCCGATGGTGTGGACCATAGCTATGTGTATATATAAACACACATATCTATGGTGTGGGCCATGGGTGTAGACCTATATTTCTACAGTCTCTGACGTAGACACGTGCCCTCTGGAAAGACGAAAGACTTGTGACTTACTTGTGACTTGCAAAGCAGTGACTTGGTCACACCTCTGCTAACTAATACACCCATCTTAGCTTCCTGTTTAGGGAAAATGAAATTCAGCTGAGTGGAGACAAAATAAATATGGTGTTTTTGTTATTACTTATAGCTTAAATTGAAGTCGTTGTCATTTTGTACAGAAAATGTTTAAAATTTAAGCATGCATGATGATAGCAGATATGTGATCTTAGTAACCCAAAACACTTTATTTTATCGTTTTTATGAGACAGGGATATGACGGTATCGGAAATTAAGAATTGACAATATCAGTATATCGGTAAAACAGCCAATAATAAGCATCCCTAGTTCTAACTTATTTCAGTAAAAAGAAGTCATGAGCGGACCAAACCTGCCTTGTGAAATTCAATTAAATTCAATTCAAGTTTATTCATATAAAGCCAAATCACAACAAGAGTCATCTCAAGGCAATTCATATAGTAAACATTCCAATACAGGTCAGTTCATTAAGCCAATCAGTAAAAAGTTTCCTATATAAGGAACCCAGCAAATTGCATCACTGGTGTCAGTGACTTTACAGCAATCCTCATACTAAGCAAGCATATAGCGACAGTGGAGAGGAAAGCTAACTTTTAACAGGAAGAAACCTCCAGAGAATCCTGGCTCAGTATGAGCAGCCATCCACCCCGACTCACTGGGGATCGAGAAGACAGAGCAGGCACACACACACACACACACATACACCAACACCAACCCACACACACACACAACATATATACCAAGTAGTGTTTCTATGCTTACATTGTGATTTCTTAGTAAATATTCTATTTGGTGAGAGATGAACTTTATTGTATTTATCCTAGTGAATCTATAATAAAACGTGTAAACTAGTAGTAGCACATTCAATGTCAAAGAGAGTAAAATGTTGTTATCAGGAGAGGGAGCATGTTTAAGTGGTTAGCAGCAGTTTTCAAGTTGATGGCTACCTCCATGAGGCCACCACAGCTCAGCAGAACATCATTGTAGCTTTTTCTAGGGAGAAAAACACTTAGAGAAATAATAAAGTTAACAGCTGAAATAGCAGGAAATAATATAGTTAAAGAGCAAATTGTAGAAGAGAGTAGTAGAGTGTGGAAAGTGGTCAGTGTGTCCTCCAGCAGTCTAAGCCTATAGCAGCATAACTACAGAGATAACTCTGGATAACCTATCCTATTTAGATGGAGGCAAGATGGAGGCAGGGCAAGGGAGAGCCGTCTTTACCGACTGAACACTCCACCTCCCTCTACTCCCCCACGTGTCCAGATCTAGGCTAACATCAGATTTTAACCATAGGCCCTATCAAATAAAAATGTTTTAAGCCTAGTCTTAAAAGTAGACAAGGTGTCTGCCTCACGGACCAAAGCTGGGAGCTGGTTCCACAAGAGAGGAGCCTGATAGCTAAAAGAACTGCCCCCATCCTATTTTTAGATATTCTGGGAACCACCAGTAAACCTGCAGTCTGAGAGTGAAGTGCTCGGTTAGGAACGTATGGAACAATCAGATGACTCATGTATGATGGAGCTTGATTATTAAGGGGTTTATGTGTGAGAAGAAGGATCTTAAAATCTATTCTGAATTTAACAGGCAGCAGGTGATTGACTAAGCAATTTCCTTTTCTGAATTTCAGGTCCAAGGATGAGAATTTCAGTCTTGTCTTGACTTAAAAGCAGAAAGTTTTGAGTCATCCAATTTTTCATGTCTTCAAGACAAGCCTATAATCTATCTAACGGATTAGGTTCATCAGGGTTAACGGATAAATATAACTGAGTATCGTCGGTATAACAGTGGAAGTTTATCCCATGCTGTCTAGTGATTTTATCAATTGGAAGCAAATATATAGTAAAAAGAATTGGTCCAAGAACTGAACCCTGTGGTACTCCACAAATGACCCTGGAGTATGAAGATTTGTCATGTACATTTACAAAATGAAATCTATCAGACAGGTAGGATTTAAACCAGCCTAGCGCCATTCCTTTGATCCCTACAACATGTTCAAGTCTTTCTAAAAGAACATTGTGATCAACTGTGTCAAAGGCAGCACTGAGATCTAACAAGACTAGAACAGACACACGATTCTTATCTGAGGCCATGAGAATATCATTTGTAACTCTCACTAATGCAGTTTCAGTGCTGTGATACTCTCTAAAACCAGACTGAAATTCCTCAAACAGAGCATTGGTGTTTAAATGCTCACATACTTGGATGGCCACTATTTTCTCCAGGACTTTGGATAAAAATGGAAGGTTAGATATTGGTCTATAATTCATTGGGTCATCTGGATCCAGAGAAGGTTTCTAAAGTAAAGGTTTGATTACAACAACCTTAAAATCCTGTGGTCCATTGATCCATTTACTAAGGATAGATTGATTATATCTAGAATGGGAGCAGTAACCAAAGGAAATGCATCTTTAAATAATTTGGTTGGGATTGGATCTAAAATGCAAGTGGAAGGTTTAGATGAAGCTAATATTTTTGATAACTCTGAAAGCTCAACTGGATCAAAAAGGTTCAAACACAGATGAGGTTCTACAGTTACCTCTGATGCTGACATGTGCCCCTGTGCCTATGGAGTAAAGACAAAACCCTGCTTGTGTTAATTACCTTTATTTCCAGTGAGATTACATGTTTGTTTGTTTTTACAGACATTTATGCTATCCTGTGGTTTCTGATAACATTAACAATCTGAGCATAAAGCAGCCAAAACACATTTCAGTCATAGTGAGATTAAATCTGGTGAAACAGGAATAGAAACATTTCTAATATTTCCTCTTGGAGCCAGAGGTTCTGAGTCCAGATGTTCATGGTCCAATGTGACACAGAGCACAATGGAGGTGGAATATGAAGCTTTTCTTTGTTCTCCTGTTGCGACTTTAGACATGACAGTTTTGTTTGTTAAAACCAGTTAAGAACGACCAGATCTTACATCACATCTGAAGGTTGCTGGTTCAATTCCAACATTACTGTGAATTAAAGCACAGCCTGTCCTAAACAGAAACATCTGAATAAATAGTTTAGTTAATAAATGCAGCTGATTCTATTGAGTGAAACTGGAGTTAATGAAAACATTTAATGTAATCCTTTGAGTAAACTGCTTTAGAGAACACACCAGCAGTCACACACACGAACTTCAGCACTGGATTAATTAAAAAACATCATTTGTTATGTACAAAGCTGTAAATATGGATATTTTAAAAGCTCATTGAGATTAAATCAGATGTGATACCATTAAAAACTATTTCATTATGATTTAATATGAAGGTGGAATTCTGTTATTTTCTGAACTCATTGTTTGCAGTAATTTTGACCTTTGATTAGATCAGATTATCTTCACTCTGCTCCATTTTCACTCATGACTCTGAAAACATGATAACTGATATGACTGTTTTCAAGTGAATATCATCAGTAGTGGAACTAAAACATTCTAGTGGGTTTGTGAGGATCTGTTCTGTCTGACAGAACTCTAGGGTTTCAAACTTATTCTTCTTCTGCAGATCTGCCACCTGCTGCAGAACCGTAGGCTGGGTTTCTCCTCCTTCTCAGAACGCTGTGATGGTTTAGGGAGCGTCGAGCGTTTGGGTCATGGTTCTGTAGAAAAAGCTTCTATTGGCTCCACCTGGGGTTCAGTCGGAGGAGTGGAGATGTCCTCGATTTGTTCTGAATCTGGTTCAGTCACAACTACAGCCACCTGACGGCACAGAGACAGGCAGGTGTGTGAAACTGGATTTAAAGCCCTGGTCCCACCAGCCCGCCAGGTCAGAACTAAACTCTAAACCTTCTGTTTGCTTACTAAAAGTTATTTTTTCCTTTGCTTTGAGGACATTTGTTGGTGGTTGTGTAAAGGTTCGGTAAAATGCTGTTTATTTATGATTGGAAACTGTTCTTTGAGCCCCTAAAAAACATTTAAAGTTTTATTGGTGCTCAAGATGACCCAGGAATTCTGATAAATTGTCAAACAAAACGCCACAATAAAGCCCTCCACTGGTTTTCTCTGCCCGATCAGCCATGTAATGAATATTAAAGCAACATTCAAGATTTTTTTTAAAGCTGCTGGGCTGAGGCATATTTCCTTTGAATGACACATATAAAAATTATTAAAACCTCCACGGCTGGATTTTTAGAAAATCCACTGTTTGTAAAGAGCGTGACATGCTTCTTCAGCTGAGCTGGCAGGAAGTCACATGACCAGTATTTCCAAAAAACAAAATAAAAATAGGCATAAGTAATCAATGAAAAATCTAGGCTTTTTCATGCAGAATCTGGCCTGTAGCTTTAACACTTTAAGCTATATCTCTCAAACTGGTTTCAGTGGTTCTTAATGCAGAAACTTGAGCAGCTTCCCATTGGACAGCGCTCTGTAGCCCTCTGCTGACCAGGAATTGCACTTTACAGTGGCGTGGGTAGGTGCCATATGGGGAGGTCGCTACCTTCTTCGCAGCTATAGGGAGCATAAGTCACGCCCATCTTTTTTCGGACCATGGGTCCCCGGAAGAACGAAAAAATGAATGCAAGTCAATGGAGCTAAAAACGTTATTTTCTAATTCCACATGTTATGTGCCATGGATTTCACATGTCCGCGTGAATTTTAAAGAAGCATTTTGACAACAAGAATGTGCTTATTTTTGCACAGGCTAAGGTTTAGGTTTTGTGTGAAAAAAGTCCAGGACTACAAATGCGCATCACGAAAGTGATGTCATCAAACTAAACACGGAGAAAAACAGAGGGAAAACGGCTGTAAGTTCAGCAAACTTCAAATCCTTCCTTCAGGAAGAAAGAAACACAGTAAATCTTGCTATTTAGCAGCTAAGCTAGGGTAGAGGAGATTCTGTGGTGACGTTATGTATGTGACGTGCCGATGTCTTGTTTGTAGTCATGCTAATTACGAAATTTTACAAGCTGATAAATATCAAAGTACATGACTGGCGTGGTCAAAACACCCATCATTTGTTTTCATTTAAATTGCAGTACAACATGTGTGTGATCCAGGGTCTAAGGCAAAGCAGATTAGAAAATGACTCTTTTAGCCTCGTTGACTTGCATTCATTTTTTCGTTCTGCCGGGGACCCATGAGCCGACCGGAAGGGGAGGAAACTTGGGCTCCTTATACCTGTTTACTGAGTAGGCAGCTAAAATAAAGTTTAGCAGTTAGCTTTTTGAGTTTGCCCACTGTAAATGCACAAGAATATGAAGAATTTAGCTTTTTTGGGGGGCATCACGGCTGATCCTGGAAGGGAAGAAAGCAGAGATGTCTTTTTTTATTTCAAAAGTGAGAGAACAGTACAGGCCAGGATCACATCAGTTGCGAAGTGCCGCAAAGTGGATCGCTCACAAAATTCGTGTGATGCCCGCCGCACCTCTGTTCACATCAGGCGAGAATTTTTGACGAGCGCTTCTGCTCATGCCTACTGTTTTCCAAACCCAGCATCTGATCCAGGGGTAAGGCTGGAGTGGTTTTTTTTTGGGTGGGGGGTGGGGGGGTGGGGGTGGGGGGGTGGGGGGGTCGAGGAGCCAATTTTCACAGTAATTTTTAGAATGTCTGGTCACTAGACGTCATTAAAATAAAAACAACATAATACAATGTGGGAGTGTTGATTAGCCAGGAACGACGTGACAAGGTCAAGGACCTCAGGGTATGGATTTATCTGGAATGCATTCATAGCCTGGATATTCCTAGTACAACCTGGAAGGTATGTGGTGGTCCAACATCCTTCTTTGTTGTTTACTTCTTGTCCATTAGCAGTTTAGGCTAGTGTTAGCAATAGCTCACCCTGCCTTTGCAGTAGCTTAGCCTAGTGTTGTTCTGCAGTTAGCATTACCGTAGCCCAGTGTTGGGAAAGTTTGTTTAAAAAACAAACTAGTTCAAAGTTCAGTTCATACATTTTAAAACGAACTTGTTCGTTTCTTACTTCATAATTTAAAAAATTTTGAACTAAGTTCACTGTTTCAAAAACGAACTAGTTCATTGCAATAACGTGAGGAAAACATTATTTGAAAAGTTTTTAATGGAAAATTATCAAACAATCTTCGGAACAAGGCTGAGGTAACAAGTTCAAAGTGCAAAACATAAAAAATGTATAATCTTTCAGTTAAGTCCCTTTTCAATTTTTCTAAATGAACTTTAACTTGTTTTTCTAAACAAAAAGAAAAGTTCAAGAACTTGAGCCATAAAGTGCTTGAATAAGTATTAAACCGTAGATCCGTTGGAATTTTCCTCCATGCTTCGTGATTTGATAACGTATGAGTGGTACGACTCCATGACTTCCGTCCTCCACAAAGCATAGATATAGAAGAGTAGACGGCACACCAACCGCTACTGCCTATGTTTGGCCGCATTTGCGGGTTCTACTTTTTACAAACTCAATGGTTAACAGGATGTTTTAGCTAGGCTTTTTAAAATTTTAAACAATGTCTATCCCTCAAAGGATCTGCTCAGAAAACGTTTTAACATTGATGATAATTCATGTTCCTTTTGTGGGAAGGATGTTGAAACAACTGATCATATTTTCTTTGAATGCAACAAGACACGGACGTTTTGGAACTGTTTTGAAAACTGGATTCAACCTCAGATTGGAATCCCATGTCCCATTTCAAGAGATGTCGTCACCTTTGGAACTCTCCTTCAAACAAACAACCAAGACCTCTGCTACAATCTACTTCTCTGTCTGGCAAAATTCTTCATACATAAACAAAAAATACTGAAATCACCCCCTGTGTTTAATGTATTTGTACATGATTTAAGATTGTGTCTGAGATCCCTTAAATGTATCAATAATAACAGCTATGAAGATATGTATAGACTTTTGTGTAGACTTCCTGGAACTGTGTAGTGGTCCCTTGCTTTTTTTTGTCCTCCCCCTTTTCACTGACTGTTCGATTCTCATCTGAATACATTGGCATGTTCGCCTTATTTGTAATTTAAATATGCTTTTCTGCAAAAAATAAAAATAAATAAAAAATCTGGAGCTAGAACAAGTTCATAAACCCGTTCACGCAAGCCAGGACGAACGCACTCACTTTTACGTTCGTCAGGCAAAATACGAACGAGTTCAGTTCACGTTCACAAAAAAAACAAAAAACGAACGGATTCACGAACGATTGTTCAATGAACGCGTTCGGGCACAACACTGCCGTGGCCAGCATTAATATTTAGCGGACACTGAATTGCGTTATAATATGCAATGTAAGCAGGCGTGGCCTGCTTATTACATAATAAATCAGCTTTTCTCAGAATGAACCGTCCCTCCCTTGCCCTTTCAAGATTATTAATTTACACAGAAAGAAGGTGAGACACGGCTCAGACTTTCTGGTATGTTTCATTTGACCAACCAAGCTGCCTTTATTCAACAGCAAAAAGGTAAATATGGCTTTATATTTTACCCCATCATAGACCTGATGTCCTCTGCTGTCCACTGAGTCTGAGAGTCGGTGCCAAGACTCAGACGGACCTCAGATTAAATTTGGAATCAATAGGTTTGGAGAATGAGCCTCTGGTCACAGAGGAACCAGAATCTGCTGCTTGTATCTGAAGGTCATGTGACTCTCCTGAGTGGGAAGGATTTTTACTCTGTTAAGCAATTCACATAATTTTAAACTTCGGTGCACAAAAATGTGTGCATGTATACATGAATGTGTACCTTTTTATAAATACTATAGTACTCCACATTTTCCACAGTGCATAAGTTATACTATAATGTTTTATAGTTTTTATTCTTAACCTGCTTTGGTTTATTTGACTGTGATTTCTGTTATAACCCCTGTGGTTATACTTTTGTTCAGCATGCACCGCCACTAACTGAATGACAATAATGTGGTCTGAATCTGGGTTGGCCCATTTCTAAATGGTCCCTGAACCCTGAAACATTGCTGGGTAGTTCTTGATCCTGTCACCCATTCAGCTGTGTCCTGAACATCACCTGTAGGGTCCCAAAGGTACCTGAGAGAGTTCAGCAGCAGCCTGAGGAGTTGGAACAGTCTGGACCGCAGGAGCAGCTGGGGGCCGGGTCTGAGGATAGGCTGGCCTGTGGCTAGAAGTCTGGAGGACACATGCATACACCATTCAAGATGGCTACCACAGCCTTATCAAACATGTCAGTTTTACACATAATGAATTATGATCCGGTTTAGCTGGAGGTCATGCATAGGTCAACACCAAAACAACTAAAACACCATCCTTTATAAACATCAGATGATCTTTTGACTTTACTCGTCTGAAACGTTTCATCTACAGGAGGTTCCTGCTGGGTGGACAGCAGATACAACCATTGACATTATCAGGAGCTGATCAAGAGCTCACCTGAGTTCCACCTGCAGCCAGAACACTGAGTCCAAACAACATGGCTGTGATGCAGATCAGCAGCTCCAGAACCAGGAAGATCACCAGAGTTCCCAGGATTCCATCGATCAGGAGCTATGCAAGAAATCCAAGATTTTACTTTAGAAAGGATACGTTTCTTCAATCAAAAGATTTATTTGCAATTAAAATGTTACGGTTTGTGAGGATCTGTTCTGTCTCTGCTACCACACACACACATGCGCACTTGCACACACACAAAAACACACACACACGCAGTCTGTGTGACAGGTATCAACAGTGATCAGTCACTTACTTTACACTTTTGCTCGATCAGCCCGGTGCATTTTCTGAAACAATGTTGCTGCAGTGGACAATAAACACACACAAACAGGAAGTCCGCTTCACAATGTGCTCAACAACTATTTATCTGACATAATGGAGAAATGTGCACACACGTCGGAGGGGATCTAGCCTACATCGTGCACAACGTTAACGTGATGCTTCATTCTTCCAGTGATGGGTTTTATTGTTACGTATTTCAATGTATAAATTAGGCAGAATCTTGGATTGAGGAGGAGCTATGTAGTTATATAGCTCTCTAGATAAAAAAAAAACCACAAAGCACTCTGCAAGCACAATAAAACTGAAATAAATAAAAATAAACTGCAGTAAATCATCTTTGGTCTTAAGCCTGATGCACTGCACAATCAGTAGGCTTTGGTCACTGAACTTCAAGGACCTGCTGGGCATGTGGGGGCTGAGAGGGTCACCAATGTATGATGGTACTTGTCCATGTAGGACCCTATATTAAAATTAGGATCTTGAAATTAACTCTGAAGCCAGTGAAGCTGGAGGAGAAGCGGGGTGATGTGGGTGTGTTTGGAGGACTTGGTCAGAAGCCGAGCACAGGCATTCTGAACCACCTGTAGACGGTTCAGGGAGGTTTAGCTCAGACACGGGAAAAGAGAGTTACAGTAGTCTAAGCGTGAGGAGATGAAGGAGTGGAGAACTGTCTCAAGTTCAGAGCGAGACAGAAAGGGACTCAGCTTAGCAATGTTCCTGAGATGGAAGAAGGAAGAGCGAACAAGAGAACTGACATGAGAATCCAGGGTGAGAGCTGGGTCAAAGGTCACGCCAAGATTCCTGACAGAGGGTTTGGTGTGAGAAGCAAGCTGACCAAGAGAGTCTCTGACTTTAAGAACCAGCTTGTCTGGGGCACAGATGAGGATCTCAGTCTTGTCATTATTCAGCTGTAGAAAGTTCCCCGCCAGAAAAGTTGTCAAAAGTTTGGGCTGAAAGTAGATGTATAGTTGAAAGTCATCTGCATAAAGATGAAATGAGGTTCCTTTAAAAGAGCTCAGGATGTGCTGGAGAAGGAGCAGATAAAGGAGGAACTATAAAGGCCCCAGTACAGAACCTTGTAGGACACCATGGGTGAGGGAGGTGGTGGAGGACCATTACTTGGAGGTGGCCACAAAGAAGGAACACTCAGACAGGTAAGGAGGTTGCCCAACCAGTCCACATTTGGTGGATTCAGAGTAGGCATTACACCTTGTCTCCCCAAGGGCCCCTTTTGGGGGAACTCAGGGAGTACAGGGTGGATGAACCTCTTTTAATGGCTATTCATACAGAGTGTGAGATGGCATTAACTTGGACCTGTTCTTGGTGAGGAATGGACTCCACCAGAGCTGCTCTTTGTGGTCTTGTTCACAAGTGATGAAAGGAAGGAGTGGAAGATCGACAGGCGGTTGTGGTTAATTTGTAGCAAAGCCAGAAAGCAAAGCTCTCAATTTTTGAACAAGCAAGATCATAATTACAAGTGGATAGGGATTTGATTAATTTGAATATGCCGTTTACAAAAATTTCATTTAGGAAAATCGACCTTTCTAAGATCCAGTTTTCAGAGAAAAGTGTGGAATCCATCTTGTTCCCAAAACAGAGTTGTAGCGTGTCACGCATTGTCATTTCAACAATCACAATCATGAAGAGAGCCTGCCAAAACCTGATTACATGCTGCTGAAGCGTGCACAGCACATACAACTGTACTGTTGCTTCAACATCTTGCAAAGGTCAGAGCTTTAATTTAATCAAACAGAGTCCAAAAAGTAGCATGAGGTGATCTGGTGCATGACAGAACACAATACAGTGGAGGTCATGGTAACAATGTTGAACATTTTATTAAGTGGGTGGCTTTTGTCAGACTCACAAGAAGAAGAGAACTGGAAATACTTGCAGGTAGTGAGGTAGAACATTCTGGTGCAAGGAGTGACTCCACCTCCAAACCAATCAGTGACCAACGGTTAAGTCCAAAGATCATGGTCCTGATACTGTCTGAAGATGTTGCTGCTGTCATGCCATTATTAGACTTTAGATCTCAACAAAAGTCAACGTGTGTGTGACGATACCATGGTGTAACAAGTCTGCTTTATGTTACAGTAAATGCAGGGTTGGCTAACTCTTTACCCCCGATTCATATTGAGGGTGCATTACGGCAACAGCACGTCTCTGCACCAAATAGAAGCCATTATAGTCTGTGGTGTGATTTACACCAGATGCTGTGCTGAATGGTTAATCCGTATCTTGCCATGTGGCTAAAGATGGGATTGAGTTATTTTTTGACATGACGTGCTTCAAGGATGTGTCAAGCTTTGTAGTTTGGATAGGGCTAGACAGGAAATCACACAGTATAAAGCATCTGATAAATTTAAAAATAACAGTAAAACCTTCAGATAGAAACTTAATGAATCCTAAAAAAATTTTGAAAAAAAAAAATAGAGACACCGGTGTTTCTATTTGTAAGAGCAGAATTTCCATCCATTTGAGTGTTTTTGGCACGTAAAAAACACATATCTACACATTAAGTCATTGCTTGAATTTTTTTCCCTTAAAATTTTGAATAAAATGGTTAATTTCTGTCCTGCAACCATTGTTTCAGTCTTGCACCAGATAAAGCCTGGTTCACACGTCAGGATCATTGTGTAGATTTTGACAAGCAAAAAATGAAATAATAAACTTTATGTCACTTAGGAATGTGAGTTTGATTGGTTGACAGTTTGTGACCTTTGACCCATGGCCTCCATAACCTGTGACCTCTGTGACCCATGACCTTCGTGCACCGTCACCCATGACTTATTCATTTTTTATTTACACCATCTGGATTTCAACCATAAGAATGGTTTAACAACTCCTAACCTCTGATCCTTTTTATCAGTCCTTCCTGTTTCAGGGTGTAATTTAATAACCTTTAAGGGACACCATCTGGATATGTGTATGGGAACAGATTTAATGAATCCTGACCCCTTTATGGATCCCATCTGGCCATTATCCATTTATTTAATCTATTCTAACCCCACCCACATCCAGATCTCCCCCGTCAGCCCCACCTGCAGGTCAACTTTACAGTCAAATTTACAGTAGACATTACGTGCAGGGTGCTAGCCCCTCAGCTGATTCCAGCTCTGCGATGCTTTCGGGCTCTAAGCAACATTCATGTGGAAGGTAGGAGAGTGTTTCCTGTGATTGTCATGCTACTGCATGAATTCAAGCTGGTGACACCGATACATACAACAATTTTTCTGATGTACGTTACCATTTCCGACACCGATCTGGATGTGCTGTCCTGTTGAGTGATGTTTTCTGCAATAACTAAATAAATAAATAAAAATATACTCTGTGTCTCAATTATAATTCATAATTTATAATAACTATGAAGTGAAACCCTGAAAGAAATAGGTTATTAAGAACAGGTGTCAAGCATGTGTGTTTCTGTGATGAGTGATTGAGTTACAACAAATTTGTTGCTCTGTTTGTCTTCCCTTGTTTATGTAACACAGCGACACTGTAGCCCAAGCCAAATTTCCTTTTGAGGACTTTAATGTTTACCTTACCCTTACTTTATCCTTTCTATGTTGAGAAAACAACAGCAACAACAGAAATCCGAGTGTGAATCATCTTTGAAAAAATCGAACTCTGACATCTACTTGAGAAAAATTAGGGGAACTGATCCTGTTTCTGAGTTCCGGTTCAACGGGGAGATTTTTGGGCCATTCCCATCTGTACCGGGTCGGCCCGGGCCGGGTAGCCCCAGTCGGCCCCAGTTGATTCCACACATCCTTGTCTTAAGCCCATGTGGGCTGATTCTACCCACCAATCAGAGGCTTGCTCTAATGGAAGGTGTGAATTTGCTGTCAGCAGTGGGTGTGTTGGTCCTGGTCGGCCTGAAGCAGACCCCCTCGAGAAGAGGGCTGAGAATGAGTCTGGGTTGGCCCGGAAAAATACCAGGCCACCCAGATATGTAAACAACCTAAGCTACCCGGCCCGGGCCGACCCGGTACAGATGGGAATGGCCCATTCGAGATTTGGGACCTCCACTGGCCTACATGCTGGGGTTTAAAGCTGGCTGACTTTCCATCTAATGAAAAGCAAATCACAACAGTGCCCTATTCTCTTGAATTAAGGGCTTGGTCATTAACTGTTTTGTCACAGTGTTTCACATCAGATCGTGGGAGACACTTATGCGCCTTTATGATGCACAGAGAAAATTGAATGTACTTTTGGGGATACAATCACACTTTTCTATACAAAAAATCTGTTGTAAGGCTTTGTTTTCACCCTGCTCCATCTTACCAGAAAAATACAAGAATAAAATACTTTTGAAACTGCGTTGAAGCTTCAGTTACATACTTTTACATTGTGTAGATCTTGTGATTTCACACGAATACGTCAACAATTGTTTATCCACTGCAGAGAAATACTTAAATCAATTCATTAATTATTATGTAGGTCAGGCCGGGGGTAACCTGCCAGGTTTCTACGCGGTGCCTGTGATGTATGGGAGGGGTATAGGGTCTCTATTCTCCAGACTTTTTAGATTACATTCATCCTTAGTAAAAAGGTTTTGCCCTGGCAAAACCGCATTTGCCAAAAGTGGCAACAGAGATTGCATCGGATATGACGACACAGGCTTTGAATAAAATCACCACACAAAGTCAGATGCCCAAGAAGGTTTAGGGATTATGAGTCTATCAAGAAGGCCCGGAAAAAGACCGCCTGGTCTGGCAGTAAAAAACACAGCTCAGTTTCTAGAAGTAAGCATAAGAGACACAAGTCAACCCTCAACTCTGATATATTTTAATGGCTCTACTTCATGGTAAATTATCTAAGTGCATGCTGGGGGAGCGGGATAACCTGTTCAGAGCCCCTATGACACAAGTGTCTATAGAGGCTGAAGTTTACACCAAGGTTTTGTCAATATCATTAATTACTGGATCGCTGTAGTTCTTTACTGCCAGAGATATGATGTCATGATTCTCACTCCCAGCGTGTCAAAAACAAACGCTTGGTCAGCCACCCTCCACGTCA